ATATAGTTGAGGTTTTGAAATAAGTTTTTTAAGACGCAGTGACGATGATGCTTTATTTAGAGATAAGAATGATAAAACAGATGTGGTGCCTGGAGCTGGAAAAATTGTTATTGAAGAATTACTTATTAGGATACCAATTGTGACTTATAGTGATATGAATAGAGTTAAATTGGTAAATGAATTAGTTTCATTGTCAGAGAGAAACGAGTATATTTTTAGTTTCAAATCATGGCAGTGTATTGAAGAAAGTAATATTACTGGTAAAACACTACAAAAAGATATAACAAATATGTATAGGAATGTCCATAATCCTTTATTTGCTATCATAGCTTTTCAAACAGGTAGGTTAAATAACCAATTGACAGACCCAGTAGAATTTAGTAATTGTAATTTGAAAAATGTTTGGTTGGGTGTTGATAGTATGAGATATGAGTATCCAGAAGAATTATTAAACTTAGATTTTAAAAAAGAAAAATTTGATACTGCTTATGATATGTTAATGGATTATAAGAATGTTTATAATAGAGTACACAGAGACTTATCTTTAATGTATATAACTCCAAAACAGTTTAAGGATACCAGACCATACTTTGTAATTGATATGAGTAGACAACCATCACACATTTCTGGATCTAAAACAAGTATTGTCTTACATGCAGATTTTAATGAAGATGTGCCCGCTAATACCATTTGTTATATTTGTTTAGTTTCTGGTACCGAATTTTTCTATGATCTTACTAATAATACAATTAGAGAAAATATATAAAATATATACATCTTAAATAAATGGACTATTGCAAAAGTTGTAAATCTAAAACTAGGAGTATAGGTATTCCTGAATTTATTAAAAAAAATAATAAATATAGGAGGTTATCAGTATGTAAAATATGTAATACAAATAAGAATAATATATCAAAACCACCAGAACTTATAGAAGCTTATGAATTATTTAAACCAGCTAGAAAACATTTTGAAACAAGACATTTTATACAAAGAGGTATAAATGATACTTGGCAAGCTGATTTATACTGTTTTTATAGACCGAAATCTAAAGATAGTGATCCCAATTATAATTTAAGAAATAAATATAATGAAGTTAAAGTTAATGATGACCATAAAGCCTTATATAAAGCTAATAATGGCTTTAAATATATTCTTAATGTTATTGATACATTTTCTAAAAAAGTTTATTCTGTAGCTTTGAAAACAAAAAGTGGATTGGAAGTATCTGAAGCATTTTCACAAATATTTAAACATACCTAGTGTACCAAAAAAATTACATGTAGATAAAGGTAAAGAATTTTATAATAAAGATTTAAAATAATTACTAAACAAATATAACATTACAATGTATAGTACAGGCACCGATAAAAAGGCATCTATGGTTGAACGTTTTAACAGAACATTAGGTGATAAGTTGAAAAAAGTACTTTATTTAAATAATGTATGGATTACTGAATTGCCAAGGATTATTAAGACATATAATAATACATACCATAGAACAATAAAAATGAAACCTGCTGATGTAAGTAAGAAAAACGAGAAAGAACTGCTTTCCACTGTTTATGATTATGATATTTGTAATTCCAAACCGAAATTTGAAGTAAATGATAGAGTTAGATTATCTTCAATAATTGATGTTTATAGAAATAAGTTAAAGACTAATTGGTCAAAGGAAATATTTACAATTGAGAAAATTTTTAAATCGAATGTAAATTATTATAATATTTGTGATGTAACAGGCACGTTTTATGAACCGGAAATCTCGTTATCATTGTTATAAACCGAAAACAGTTTATTTCTGTAGGATATTGTTATCATAACAGCAACAAATTCCAATTCCGTTATACCCCCATGGTCATCTCTCTGATAGTGGTGTACCGAGTAATATTTTAACGACGACGTAATTTATATTTTTAATTTCAATCAATTATTTTCCCTATAAATGAACAAACTATATTGCTTTAAGTGTAAACAAAAAACAGATAATATAAGTCCACTTATAATAAAAACTAATCACAACAGGAAGAGATTGTCTGCAAAATGTAAGCTATGTAGAACATTAAAATCAGGATTTATTAAGTAGATTATGACATAAACTAAATTGCTATCCATTTTCTATGTTTAGCATCAAATCGCTATTATGAATGAAAAGCAATGTATTCTAATTTATTTAACTTAATTTATATAGAATTGTACTATAACATGAACAAATATTCTAGTAACCTGAAAAAATTTCAAAATATTGTAATATTAAATAATCAAAATCATAAAATTCTTTTTTTAATCGGTGATCTAAAAGCTCTTGCATGGACAGAACATTTTTTATGTTAAACTTGGAAGTAATAGAGTTTTGTAAATTTTGGAGTTGTTTTAAATTATAGGAATCTCCCCAAATAGTTATAGAATATTGTAAATGAGATTGGACTAAGGCAGAGTATACAGATTTTTTAAAACTTGATTCTATTGCAACATTAAAAACTGGTAATGATTTATTAATTTTGGAAATTATTTTTTCTAATTGAATTTTCCTAGTAAGTTCACGATCAATTATAACACCTAAATATTTATATTCCTCAACCATTTCGAGATTCTGACAATTACAAATATTTGGAATATTAAAAGTATTTTTACAATGGTAATTATGAATTGTTAAATTGTTGTTTTTGTCTATTTTTTCCGAAAAATCTATAAATTACGTTTTGGAGATATTAAGAGATAATTTATTTTCCATTGACCAGTTTTTAATTTTAAGAAGATCGTTATTTGCTTTTAGATATAGATCATTCGGGTTATCTGCATCTACCACTAAGGCAGTATCGTCCGCGAAAAGAATTAAGTTTCCGTTTAATTTAATATTTGTTAAACTGTTAATATAAATAATAAATAATAAAGGTCCAAGACAAGTTCCCTGCGGAACTCCACAAGTAATTAATTTTTTAACAGATTTTGTTTTACCTAATTTTGTGCAACATGTTCGTTTTTCCAGATAAGATTTAAGTAATTTGTATGCAACTCCTCTTATGCCTATATTTTCCAATTTTAATAACAATAAATTATGATCAACAGTATCAAAAGCTTTTTTTAGATCTAAGAAAACAACAAGCTTATATTTTTTATCTGTTTTAATATGTGAAATTAATTTAGTTATTGCGTCTTCTTTCCCGAAAACCAAATTGTGAACTAGACAGTAAGTTATTTTTATTTAAGAAATTAGTTATTCTAGTATAGATGCATTTTTCAAAAATTTTTGCAATATTAGATATTAAGGATATTGGTCGATAATTATTCGGATCTAACTTACTTCCAACATTTTTATATATAGAAACAATATCTGAGTGTTTAAATTCACTCGGAAAATAATTATTTTCAACAAATAAATTAAACATACACGGTAAAGGAACAGATATAGATTTTTTTTTGGATTTTAATAATTCTACACTAATTTTATCGGAGCCTGGAGCTATATTATTTTTGAGAGAATTAATTTTGAGTATTATTTCATCTGGAGTAATTGATTCGAAAAAAATAGAATTAACAGAATAATTGCATTTAGTTTTTAATTTGGCTTCCATAGAAGGTATTTTAGAAGCAAGTTTAGGACCTATATTTACATAATGATTATTTAATATATTACAATCAATGTCGATAACAGTTTTCTTTTTATTAATTTTTAAATAATTGCAGAGCAACTCCCATTGTATTTTAGGATTTTTTTTGTGAATAATATTAATTTGTTTTATAAAGTAACTTTCACGTAAAATTTTGATATAGTGCCTAATTTTTGATTTGTAAAACACTCCTAGAGATTGTTTTTTTCTAATTAATTTATTACGTATTTTTATAGAAGCAATAATTCCTTTTGTAATCCAAGGATTACAAACTGTTTTCGACAAAGTTGTTTTATTAGAATTATAATTATTTGGTTTATTAAAATATTTCGATAAAAATGTATTTACATACTTACTATAGTTCCGTGATGGAGTTAGTCGCTCGGTGTAATACTCCCCTACGTTTGTCATGATTTAGCATCAATTCGCTATTGTATGACAAATTTCAGGGAGAAATACAGATTTTATTTGCAGGTGTTAACTGTGTTAGCCGTTTATAGGCATACTGCAAATGACAAAAATTCCACTGCGTGGCCTGTATTTATTAACTAAATTATCTCTAGTAGTGTTCATACAATCGGCTCTCATTGGTTGTAGGGGAACACGGGGCAAAACCGACTGAAAAAACGAATACCTTCATAACTATTCAGGATCTTAAAATAAACTCGATCTATTTGCACAGTTTTATTAAGTAACTCCCTGTTTATAATATTGAATTACAATACAGTGAATATCATTTATATTTATTTTTTAATAAGCCATTAACTATTTTAACATTTTATCGGTTTTGCCCCGATACCGGGGCAAAATCGATTTGTAATGGGGCAATACCGATGCATGGTGTAATAGGTACTAAAATAATGATGGAAAAAAATATTATATTAAGCTTTTTTCAAAGGAACTTACTAAACCAAAATATAAATAACCATTTTATTTAAGTATTGTAAATATAGTAATAAAGGTTTCATAAATTACCTATGTATTATAAGAAATGTATAACTTCATTAAAATTCAATGAAACCAAAATAAAAACAAATTTAATCAATCTTGATTATTCAATTTATTTGTTTTAAATTTAATAAATATCTAACAAATAGGTATTTAGATAATTACATTAATTAATATTAATCTAAATAAAATCACTTTAAGTAGGTTACCTAATAATAGACTATTATACTTTTCTATCAGTTATGATAATTTAATAACAATTTAATTCTATTTCATAGTAATAAAAAATAAAAAATAATAATAAGGAACTTTTTTGATAACATAAAATTAGAATAAGTAGGTACCTAATTTCCTATCAGTTTTGATAGTTTTAAAAATGTTCTTAGTCTTATAACTACATTTTTAATATTATTATAACAACAAAATAAAATAAATAAAGAATTAGGTCTTAGAAATATTAGCTCTACAAAAATCACAAATGAATGATGTCCAGTCTTCAACTCCTCCGCATAGCTCATGACACCATTTAGCACAACCAATACACCTAGCCCACTTTTCTCCACTTTTACTACCAGTAGTAGTATATGGTTCAGTGCAGTAAATGCACTCATCTGTGGCATATTGATCATTACTGTCTATTACCTTAGATGAACTTGAATTACATTTTCTTTTTTTCTTCTGTGGCTTATCAAAAAGTTTTCTGGCTATTTTCTTTTTTAATTCATTACCCTTCATATTTTTTGTACTTTCTAATTCTATTTTATAAGGACTATCTGTAATTACCGCAGTTTTTCCTCTTCGTATATTCCTTGTACTTTTAGCTCTGGTGGCATGAGGAATCCTTAAAATATCCCTAGGAGAAAATGAAAAACTTGTGGCAGATGGTGAAACTATTACACTAGCATCGGGTATAGATTTATCAGTTAAAATAGTTTCATCCAGCAACAATGGACTTTCATCATAGACAAATTGGTCAATCGCAGCAACAATTGTAGCAGGTGACAATGGAATTTCATTATTAATAGGTTTATCAATTATATTATAAGTACCAGGTGACAATGTAGTTTCATTACTAATAAATTGATCAACTGTATCTGTAGCATTAGATGACAATGGAGTTTGATTATCTATAAATTGATCAACTATATTTGTAGTATTCGGTGTATACGGAGTTTCTGTGGTAGAAGCTGCCATAAAATCAAAATCAGAGTAAACATCTGGGTTATAAGGGACAATACCAGCTTTTCTAAATCCTGAAACTGCATTATTGATTGTTGCTGATTTATTATAAGCTAAACCAAAAATCTTTCCAATTTCATAAATAGTTATAACGCGTCCTGGATGATTAACTAAGTATAAATTAACTTCTTGGCTGTAATATGTACTAAGAGGACGCATGAAGCTAATATCAAGAGGTTGCAATTTATGTGTTGTATGAGGTGGAAAGAATAAAATTGTAATATGGTTTTTCTTTGCAATGTCACTGGTATATTTTTTACATGTGTGGAATGACCATCTAAAAGAAGTAATACTGGATTTGAAATAGTTGGATTTGTGTGCTTGATGAAATGATGCATCCATTCTACAAAAATGTCAGGCTGCATCCATCCAGATGGATGGTCTACACCATAAGAGGAAGGAGGTGCCCCATCTAAAAAAGAAGGTAGAAGTCGCTTTCTTGGAAAAATTAAGAGAGGTGGAACATAATGTCCAGAAGCCGAAAAACAAATAGTGGCTGTTACATTTTGCCCTCTTTCAGCAGAAGAAAGTTTTCCTACTTGCTTTCTTCCTTTAGTTGCAATAATTTTCCCCAGACTTTTGGCAACACATGAAAGTCCTGTTTTATCTACATTATAAATGCGGTCTGGCCCAAAATTATGTTTTTGAATACATTCTATTAGCAACTTATAAAATGATTGTACAACAGGCTTGTTAAATCCCATAGCTCGAGCTGCTGATGTTGGCTCTGGAGTTCTAATAAACAATTCTGGATGTCAATTTAGAAATCATTTTACCCAATCTTGACCTTTTAAAAATAATTTAACAAAAATACATTAAAATTAAATTAATTTCAGGTTTACCTGCTGTTGCAGTTTTTTTCCAAAAATTATGGTCTATTTTGTTTATTTCTGCTAGGTCAAAAGCAAGTTTTCTTAGATCTAACATTGTTAGGCCAAACATTCTACATTCCATTTGCTTAATATATTCTACTAATTCTAGTTCTTGACTTTCGTTAAACAGTGGTTTGAATCTACCTAATTGTTTTATGCCTGAATAATAATAATAATTTTTAGGTATTGTATCATTAATTTAGATGTATTATACAAGAATCTGTAATTTTTTTTTGTAACATTGAAAATAATTCTACCTACTGTAGGTACAAATTAAAAAATGAACAAGAAAAATATTGATGAAATATTAAAGCAAGTTTAAAATCCTAAAAAATTGTTACCTACCTAAACTTAAAAATACTGCGCTGCGTGGTCGATGTTGGCTGGATCAGCTTTCGGCCGCCGCTGGGCCCTCGTGGGTGTCTTAGCCCATCATGGTTGTTGGACGCAGGTTCTCACAAATGATGGCAGCTAACAAGCATCCGACGAAATCGGTTGGTGACGGCAATTGACTTGTGTCCTTTAGGATCGGGTGATGAACATCAATCGGTTGGCCGCGTGGTCGATGCGTCGGTCGTTGTCAGTACGGGTATCTCGCAGTTGACCAGGCAGGTGTAGAGCTGTGAAAAAAGAATGATTTGTGTTGAGCGGAGACCCGGCGACAGCGGTGGTCTGTTGCCGGCGGCGGAGCTTTTTGTCGTTGGTAGGGCAGGTTAGTGTCGTCGTTTTGTGGGATGGTACAATATATTCGGGGAGTACAGTATTGCCTGCGGGCCGTACCGGCGGACTAGAGTGCCTTGATAGAGAGAGTGTGGCCATATGAACTGATAAGGAAATTGTCCGCCATTAGTAGGCTAATAAATGAATAGCTCTTACGTGATATTATATGACATTGTATTTCATAGATTGTTTTTTATAACTTTCTCAGTGATGTTTTTCTTTGATCTAACTTAAAAAATAGATTTACAATATTTTCTTTAGTTTAATAATTTTCATGTAGAGGAATATACTATTATTTATCTGAATTTGTATAGTAAAATTTAATACATTAATGGTTTAATGTTTACTAATAAAAATAAATACTTAGATACTCTTAAACTACTGTAGTAGGTAACCAATACTATTAATTATTATATATAGGTATATTATTTATTCTAGTTATCATTTATAGTTAAATTTATTTATTTATAACTGCATAACAATTAATGTGTACCTAATTAACAGTTACAGTTGAATACTTGAATGGAAACTGTATTTTCACAAATTATATCAATGGATATAATTTTTTAATCTATTTCACTCTGGGGTTGATCTGGTAAAATAAATAAAAACAACCTAAAGAGAAGGAACCTGAAGAGTATATTTTTTGCAAGCATGATATTTACTATCAAGAATGAATTATTCTTTTACAAAATGAAAATATATAAATTATTATAAGCAGGTTACAACATACATGTTTTAAATGAGAATATAAAATAAATTATATTTTAAATAAAGTAAACAATACACATAAAATATAAAATTAAATAGTAAGGCTGCATACTCAATTTCATTAAAAAGCTGTATAAATTGAAATTTTATACATAAGGAAAACAGCATATTCAAAAAAGTTAAAAATTAAAGCAGGATAATTAAGCAAAAATAATTAATTACAATTTGACATAATCACAAATGATTAGCAACAGATTTACTTCCATATTTGTTAGCTAATTTAATTTTGTTTTTTCCAGCAATCTTTAAACGAAATAAAATATATCTACTTATTATAAAATCATGTAGCTTATGACAATTTGGAATGTGAACATTAACAATTTCTTTCATTTTACTAATTAAGAAATGCTTTATATTACAATTTTGATCTTTAATAATAAAATAGTATTTTCTGAAAATACGTTCATAACTCAAAAACATATTAAATGTGATTTCATTACAAAAAAATAGACATCCTTTTTTATATCTTTTTAATTTGGTGAGTTTGGAAAATGCAGCGTTTATACTTTTATTAGAACCTACACTCGATAAGCAAAAGCTACAAAGTTTTGACTTTTGTTTTATGCTATGTATAATATAACCACAAACATTATACAATGAATTTAACTCACCAATGCACAAATTCATGTTAGGTTCATCTATTTCTAGAGGTAGCTGAACTTCTTTTAAAGTTGTATTTAGGCTTGAGTTATCTAAAACATATAAATCCTGATAAAATGTTTCGATCATCTTCATCATAGCTACCTCTAGACACATCTTTAAGATACTGAGATACAGATATTAACTTTAAATCGTTTTTGAATTGCAAGGCATTAGGAATAATATTTTTAGCTCTTAAAACACTAAAAAGATTTTCCAAGCAATCTTGAGTAAATCTAGATGTAAGTAGAAAGTGAAATCCTTTTTCATTTAAATATATGTTTTGAAGATCTAATATTGATGTAGTTGATAATATAGAACCACACTGAGAGGGTTTCCAAGATCTTTTATTTCCTACTTCTAAGTGTGTCATAATTTCGATGAAATCCTTTAAAAAAATTATTGATTTTTCGTAAACATCTGGCTTTAATTTGCTTAAAGCCATTACAATATTCCGTGATGTCATCAACGAGAACCAATGTTCAATAGTTTCAATAAACTATGCAGTAGTGAGATATTCAGGTTTGCTTAGTTCATCAGCAAGATATCGCAAAGCAGAACATACATCATGGCTGATAACATTAGTCGATTTTCCAACTTTCATTTTTTGAAAGTGACTGGGAACCAAATCATCTTGGGATAACTTTGGGGCTAAATGGAAATGCAGTTGATCTTGATAATTAATTATATCTTGTATATGATCAGAACATACTATATTTGTTGGTAGCTCATATTTTTCTTGAATTTCTTTAGAAATAAATAATACTTTGTTTGTCATTAACATGTTTTTAATATTTTTGAATAAGTGTGGCACATCAGCAATAACAAATAATTTTCTATTACTGTCGATAGGATGAGGTATAGAATTAGTCACCTTGCAATATTTTCCAGCAGTAATATTCCAATGTTTCCATAGTCGTTGATTACTAGAACCCATATCTGATGTGATAGCCATTACTTTCAATCCAATTGATTCACTTTTTGTAATTATATCTGTTATGATACTACT